AATTGCTGTTCATTAATTTGATTCTTGCTTCCAATTCTCGACGCTGTGTTCTTTGAACTTTCTCCTTTCCTTCTGTCTTCAGGATCCCCTACCCTTCAGCTCTATAAGTAGTCATCACTAAATCTTCTACGTATTTCCGCTTGTGGGCTCTGATATCCCTCTTCAATCTCCGCCACAATTTGCCTTAGCGAGCAGCTTAATCAATAAAACTTGAAAGCGTGTAGTGGCAATTGACCATAACCACACAGTCATCAAAGCTGAATACGAGATTACTCGGAAAATAGATATTCAATATTTAACGCGGAGAAATACCTAACGATGGAGAAGGCGCGAACAAGGAATTGAATGGACTGGAGTTGATCGGACGGCATGGCTCGGCCATGCAGGCGTGGCCTATCTGAATGTCACCTTATATCTTCTATTCATATTAAATATATTGTTCCTTCTCTAGCCTAACCTTGTTCTCCATCATTTATTGGTAATTGATACGATACAGTGAGTTGGCGTAGTCGATGGTGTGACTTCCACGTAAGATCTTATAGATTAGGCAGTTATATCATGACGAATCTACAAATTTAGGATTAGGTCTATTATTAGAGCAGTACTAATATCATAGAAGACCATAATTCTACAAGCGCACTGGAACTTCTTTTCGATGTTTATCATGAAAATCATACTCCACCATACTCCATCGTTAAGTTTCCAATATTGACATCTCAACATCTATCCACAAATGATTTCATATCCACCAACATCAAGCAAGCTATAATTACCCCGAAAAAACGTATAAAGAAGGCCTGATGGCATTTCCGCATCATTTATGAAGTAATGTTGTAGGGAATTTGCATTACTCTGTTTAAAACTGTTCAACCTATCTGTGTACTGTGGAACTCGTCCATCTGTATGTGAAACATCACTTTTAACCCCTAGATTCGAAACGGGGTAACGTAGTGATATTGATAACTGTAGGTCCATTAACTTGAAATCCGTGATATCTGTAATCATTTGAAACATCGTCCAAAAACAGTTATAATCACCTACACTTTTTACGAGTCTGATTAGCTCAATTCAACATCGGTTTATGCCTGAACACTCATGCTCCCTATAGCACTTAAAGGGTTTTGATCAAATTACTCAGAAAAGAGATATTGGTCAATCATTGATAATTCTGCACTTTGATTTTAGTAAGGCCTCCAATAGTGTCTCGCACAACCCTCTTATTCTTCTAAAACTTTCTTCAACTGTCATATGAAATCCTTTTTTATTCTGGTTCAAATCTTCTTAATCAGGACGTAGTCAGAACATTCGCGTTGGGTTTTCTACTTTAAGCCTATGAATGTAACCGGTGGGGTTGTACGACGGAGCATGATTGGTCGATTAGTTTTTGTCCTTCTCTCTAGTCACGTGTGCCTGTAGTGGCATTGGGTTCTAATCACACAGTCCTCAAAGCTGAACGGGAGACACTTGGGAAAATAGATGTTCAACATTTACCGCGGAGAAAAACCCAAAGATGGAGAAGGCGATAACAGTGAATTGAACTGATCCGAGTTGATCGGGTGGCATGGCTCGGTCTTGCAGGCGTGGTCATTATTTAATGTTATTATATACCTTTCATCCATATTAAATATATTGTCCTATCTCCAGCCTAAATGTGTTCTTCACCATATTGACGATTTTTACGACACAATGGTTTGGTGTAGGCAATGATGTTACTTCCACGTAAGATCTTATAGATTAGGCAGTTACATTATGAAAAATCTACAATGTTAGGATTTGGTCTATTATTAGAGCAGTACGAATATCATAGTAGACCATTATTCTACATGCTCACTCTTTCAACACGGTAAACCGTTCGTTTGTGTCGATGATCTGAAAGTGGTTTATTCATTCTCGTCTCTTACCAAAGAACACTACGTCTCAAGTGTCCAACGCAAGAAAGCTCATTGGATTCATAATGATAAATTTCAATAACATGGAATCTTGATTATAATAATACAAAAAATGTGCCATATGCATACTAGAATATGGTATTCGAGTTCACAGTAATTGCAGGCATAATGATTTGGTGAAAATTTAAAGTATTCACAGTATTCGTAGTATTCTGACAATAAAGATTAACAACAATGATGCCAATAACTCAAATTAAGACGTCTCTTGATAAGGCGTATTAAATCAGACCTTGTCTGTATCTACTGGCTTTTGAATGTTATTTTGTAATCTCCCGCATCCCTCGTTTCATATTCTTTCATGTCACTCCACAGCCTGAGCAATAAAGGAAACTCCGAGGACATACACAAGCTTTCGTTATTCAGTCATGTGGAACAGACTCCCAGCAAATCTCTGTTGCAGCAGAACTACGATCCGATCCAAAAGTCTTCTTGATGTCTTTTTTCCGAAAGCGATGTGTACCATCTATTTTATCCTTTTTCAAACTGCTGGTTTACTTCAGAGGTCGATATTCAATACAAAATTATTATTATTTTCATGGTTGAACCCTTTCACGAGATGTTAATTTATTTTCTCTCTTTTTTCTATCTAAACAAATATTATTCTTAAGATTACGAAGTTTGTAATTAAGACAATAACTTGTGTTACATTTAAATTAACTTCTCAGACTCGTTTTATCTTCACTATACATATATGACTCATACATATTGATATTCGGTTATCCTTTTCACTTAATTCAGACTTTCGTAGCATCGTTCCGAACTATGACTGCACAAACATTTATTCCAGCGTTGTATCTTACTGCAATAATAAGTTATTTTTTCGTAATTATCTTCTATTTTATTTTTGTCACTAATTTGACGACACATACATAGTCGTTTATTCTTGTTCCGTGTTCATAAACACGCCTATTAAACTGTTTGCGTATTTCACGTCTCCTTTATTTCTATTCCTTTATTTTCTTCCCTCCCTTTAAACTCAATTCAATGTTCCTCTCAATTACACAGAACTTGATTTATTATTATTATTCCCTTTTCAAATGTGGCAAATATAATGCTAACATTATTGAAACTTGTGTGTTACTGCATTTTTGAAGAAACCCGAAATGGTTTCTTCACAGCACTTATGTACTCATAAGATGTTGATGAATAATAATAATAATAATAATAATAATAAGAAATATCAATATGATTACTAATGATCTGTAAAAAGAAGATCTGATATCTATTTAGTGGACTGTAGAGCAAAGTAGAATCTTTGAAATTTTGTTCGTATATTTATTCATTTCTTTCCATCTAAACATCCGTAGTTCACTTATGTTCTTGTTTATTATTATTACTGTTATTATCATTATTGATCCCTTGAGACATTAGCTGTTCTTCTCAGTCATTCTTCTTTCTGTCTCTTCTTCATACATAAATTGTGCTGGAGAAACCCTGGACTGTATAGCACAGGTCATACCATTTGAGGCATTTTGTACTTTTGGTATAATTTATGCTCTTTCTTGAATCAGAACTGTTTAGTTAGAACGCAGAATTTATGTTCTAGTATGACTGAATAGAAGTCGCTGAAAAACGCTTCGTAGGTTATACAGAAGAACGTAGTCTGGCTCAATCGAATAAAATTTGGTTTGTTAGTGTTGCATTGAACCGAATATTGGTATTTCGGCCATTAGAATGCACTTAGTTTAATTATGTTTATGCTTAGTAGCACTTAGACCGAATAACTGTTCACCATGGTTAACTAATCAGGTTGAGGAATTTCTTAAACGTAGAAGGAAGCATTGGTGCATGTTCATATCTATAGACTATACGCAGTGCGGATCCATTTATTGTAAGATCAGGGAAGCTTACAAAGAGTTAACAAGTAATGCTAGACATTTATGTGAAAAACGATTGGTGAGAAATTGTGAAAATAGTTCGAAAACGTTGTTCTCTCGTATGGAGAGTTGAAATCAGAGGAGTGACAGGCCCGATACTTTTGATTCGAGAAAATCCATTGAAATCAGCAAAAAATGACGTTTCAAAAGCTGAATTTTTATCAGAATATTTTAGTGAAGTGCATCTCAGGACTACACAGATCTAGGAGTCATAATAAGCAACGACTGCAAAACTATGGACAGCAGCCAAAGACTTCAGGGTCTTATGGGCTGTTTTTTAAGCCTTTTCAATGCTTAGACAAATAAATGTTTAGGGTATTATACCCAAATTTTGTGAGGCGTCATTTGGAATATGAGATTTGAGCAGTGAGTTCATGTCTCGAGTATGAGGCGGACATGCTAGAACGAGTCCAACGACGAGGGAGAAAAATGGAAAAGGGTCTTTCTGACCTATCCTATGGAGACAGACTGAGACACCTTCACTTATTTCCGTTGATGATGTCACAGGTATTCAATGTTTGACAACGCTTCTACCAGTAACACCTTATATATTTCGTTCCTACCCAGAGAAATCAAAAGACAGAGTCGAGGAGATCGGAAGAGTATATTTGGCGATTACCAATATATCGGAATTCTCTGATCTAATCTGGCTAGTGATTGCGGTTGGTGTTGAGCACGGCGTTACCACACGTGATCTGGTGCGGATGCCTGACCGAGCGCCTTCAGCTAGATGAGTCCACTAAAACATATGGTCAGCATCCAATGTCGAAAACTTACAGAGCTATTTATTTTGGGTATTTATTTACCGCTACACCGTTATCTTACTTCAGATTACGGGATGATCTAATGTTGGCTTGTCATATACTGTACGACGATCTTAGCATTAATATGCCTTATATTTTCCTTCCATCTAGAACTGATAATTTTGGAGAAGATTCTATAAAATTTCAGAAACCGAGGCCATATCATTTACGTCTGGAGTTACATTTCTCAAACTGAGTAGTGAATTACTGAAATTCTCTACCAAAAACACGTAATATCAGCACCTGTTGATTCATTTAAAGTGAGATTGAACTTCCACAGTGCTACAAATTGTAAGGATTAGTATAGGCCAATAAACCTCCTGTCCTTACTACTGAAGACTGATATCAGGAAGTTTGTAGTTTGTATAGCGGTTATCTGGTTTTTGCGTTACACGTAAGCCACCTGGTCAGTCTGCAGTTGTAACCTGTTTCGTGGCTTAATTCTAGCTTGACTTTTCATATGGATAGCTCAGTACTGGATTAGCATGTAATAGATTATTGTCGTGTTTAGGTTTCAACATCGTTTTTTCATGATAATGGTAAAACTGCGGCCTTCTGAAGTAAACATAGCGGGGAAGTGTAACAGAACACGAGGGGAATGATGACGACATTTCCTAATAAACTTTGGCGTGGATGACGGGGCAGCTCATTGATTCCTACCATGGTAAAAAATTGTGAGACTTTTCCATTACATGTCTCCCTGGCGGAGCAATTTCTCGGGATTTACACCATCTAGTCTACCTACATTATCACAAAAGTAGCTGTTTCTAATCCTAAACTTCTGGTAGATAAGCAGACTTGAAACTATCCACTGTTAGCCTTTACTTCCACAAGGAAACCAACTTTTCGACACAACTGACCAAATTCGAGGTATGATGCATGTATTAGAAGACATCTATTTGCAGAAATTTTAACGAATGTTTTCAATAATATTTAGGACGTTTAGGTGCCGACATGTTCTTGCTGTAAGTGATAAGTATGATTATTATGATAGGAAATCTTAAGAAGGTAACCGGCAAATTCGTAGTTTATCAATAAAATTATGTATAAATAATGAGGTTCTGCTATAAACGAAATGGAAAATCATGTGGACTTCCCACGTACGTCTAACTTACTGCCATGTAACACATAGAAGTGAAAGAGTTGATGTGTGATGTATGCGCACTACGAACCATAAGTATTGTCTAGTGAGTTCTAAAATGTAATAAATTAGTCTGTGTAGTGAAACTATGCTTCAATATGTTTAATGTTAAAACATAAAAACACAAGGTGCAGCTTACAGTGATGTTCGCTAAAGTAGTACCGTGCTCCTAAAATTGGAAATAAGAAGTTACCTCTGAAGAACGTTACTTACATTGTCACTCCTTCTACGGTAGCTCTCATGAGCCTATCTTTCATGTCACGGAGATAACCTTGGATTGGGGTGTTGTTCAGTTTTTCAAGATCTTGTCCAGTTAAACGTAGAGATAAAAATCATGATGTTAGTGCGCCTGATTAAAAATAACAGAAGTGTTTCTACTTCGTATGCTATTATAAAATCGGCACATCCGGAGAGCATTTTTGCTGGTAGTACTGATTAGTGTTTTTGGGTTATCACCCATCAGCCTTTTCGCCATCATCTAAAGTTTTAAAGGATTATTAAACATAAGTATAAGAGCCACAACAAATCTTCACTCTGGTTGTGTAATCATTGTTCTGGCTGACAGCGTGGGAGTGGTCATTTCCCTATTCCCTTACCATTACGAACGTTTCTCGGCTATTTTCAATAAGCGAATTTATGTGTTAAACGTAGCACTATTTACCTCAACTTCAGCTATGTATTACAGGTTGGTCACGTGTTTCTATGTATTTATTCAGATTATGTAGAGAACGAGATTACATAATTAACGCTATCTGAAGCTAATAATAACAAGCTGTTTACTGATATTAAGATACAACACTACAGAACTCTTGTTCTTTCTATAGGAAAATAGGACTAGCGTAATAGTAGAAGAAAACGATCCATTCTCCTAATGGTATGTCATTATATATGCAGAGAGATACGACATGTACAGTTTCGAATCGAGGGAACGTAGACATATCATTCCATTTAATTTTCTGGTATTGCTTACTTAATAGCTCAACACCAACATACTGTTTTCGAACTATCGTCATTCTTGATGGGTAAATATTTCAAATCATGGCCTCAGTGAGAAATTCTTTATTTCAAATCTACGTGACCTTACAAATGGCTATGCTCAATTACTCGATTAGTTTAGCAAGAAATTAGTTGTCGGTTTTTCTATTTCAGGAGGTTGGCATTTGTCTTTTCCACTCTCAATGATAGTGATGTCCAGTTCATATAATAGAACACAAATATTGCAAATACTAAATACTCACCATTTTGTTGGCACTGAATCATCTCATCTTACTTTTGGTAGTTGTTACTTATCTGAATTGCCTTATTGGGTCATTTTAACAGAAGCTAGGAGCTTCTATTACAAGTGTAGATTTGGTGTCATAAATTTGGACACTTCAGGATATATAAGTAATTTAAAATAGGAAGTCGGAATTTGTCTCATGTTTTCTAACATGAACGAGACATCTTAGCATGTGTCTTAACTGAATGCACACTATTTTTAAAATTTGAATATAGTATGTCTGGTATACAGTTTTATGAAGCAGTTAGATTACCGAACTAAACGGTAGTATCTGACCACCTAAAATACCAGTCAAAATTTGTATGCTAACACCCTAAAATCGGTTTTCATAGTATCCGTAAACTTACGACTACGTCATATATCTATTTGATTTACCTGAAATAAAAGCGTTAAACATACAAAGCATCCTGATTGCATTGACTGAAAGTTACAAAGAAGGGTTAATATTTCTAATGAAAATTTGATTATACGGGGTGGTTCTTTTAGAACATGTAAACAATAGCCGATGGAAATAGTGTGCAGAAGGATCTTTCCAAGAAGAGAACAACATGTGTAGCTAAGTGGATAACATGATGGCGTTTGAAGCTAATGGTACTGGGTTCGAGTCCCAGAGTGAACATCAACTCTAGGATGCAGGTAAATCAAGCTGACGAGTCCCAAATAGGACAAAACACGCATCCTTAATTCCACTGATGGCCACTATCCATCATCCTTGCTTAAAACGTTTGTGACTTAAGGCTACATCAAGGCAGTCAGCACAGGATGCACATATGTCAACATGAGACATCACTTGCAGTCCTAAATAACAATGGGAAGATACAAGTAAAACAACACCAAGTGAAGATATGTATTACTTCAATGAAAAGATTTTATTATTTCATGCTACAAATCCCTAAATTGTTCAGGAACAACAGACCTAGAATGGCCGTTAGATTTTTACTTGGTTTAAAATGTTACTTATCCAACTGATTCTTGTTTCCCTTATTTTCTTTTAGTTTTCTCTAATTATCCATATAGACACAAATCGGTTGAAGGAGTGTGCCAAACTATCTCCTCAATTATTTTATTACATTTAAAGTATGGCTTTAGAAGATTTGATCAGTCCTATAATCTCTAAAGAATGCTTTTATAAGTTTACAAAAGAAGGAGATTTATTTGATGGTAATCTTTCGAAAAAACACAATTAATCTACTATTTTGTTTAGGTCCATGTTTTAAAGCAACTATTAGTAAATTATTAGGATATGGAATAGTTATTGGCTCTTCACTTGGTAAGTAGTTTCAATTCTTTGTAGTCAGTAATTGTAGTTTATGAAAAGTTAAAATTCCACAAGTAATAAAAGTTGCAAAATGTAAAAATTCATTTGGTTTGAGTATACTTTCAATTTTACTTGAAATGATCTCTTTAACATCTGTAAGCGCTTACTCATTTGCTAATGGATTCCCTTTCAGGTAAATAAATATAACAGTTATTTTTCTTTATATAAAATTTCACTGAATGTATATTATTCATATTTATTGACTAGTTCGAACAATGTAGTGTTCAACCGGGTCTGTTGTGAGAGAGTAAGTCATTGATGACAATGGTGGATGTGCCGCTCAATCTCGTGGATTAGTTGAAGTTAGATATTAACACCGTTGGATGCCGGCTCAGTGGTCTAGAGCTTAAGCGTTCGCGCGCGAGACTGATAGGTCTTAGGTTGGAGTCTCGCGAGGCGGATTCGTGGATGCGCACTGCCAATGAGGAGTCCCACAGTAGGACAAAACGGCTGTCCGGTGCTTCCAGGTTTTCCATGGTGGTCTAGCTTCAATTGACTCATGATCTCAACTATTGAAATTACTATAATATGCACAAAAAGCTCTTCTGTTATTAATGTAGAATTCGACAAATTCATACGTTTGTACAAAATTTCACACAGTTCTATCAAGAAATGGTCAATGAGAAAATAAGAATCTGAAAGTTGAGCTGAGTGAATAATATGTCAAGTTACTGTTAGTAATCACGACTAACTATGTAGTTTCGTTCGGAAATCCTGAAAATGCATTCGATGTATCTGTTCTTACAGGGGAGAAGATAAGGACCAATACATCAAATATATTTTTAGGATTTTTGAAAAGAGCTACATAGTCACTTGTGGCCTACATTCAAGTTGATTGAGACATAGTATCTATGCCCAACCACTACCTTCATCGACGAGCAGTATTACTTAAAGTAGGAATTAGTAGGAAGAATAGTAGGAGTGACCAGATGTGGCATCAATCTATAAAACCATCGACTGTTTAGGACTTTGGAGTAGTCGTTTAGTGGTTAGGGCATCCGAATTTCAACCACTAATTTTCAGTTCCGAACCCCAATTCACCTATTCTATTTATTTTCTTCAGTAAGTAGATGTAGCGTCCAGCTCACCAAGGCTTATGAAGCTCCCAAGGTAAGTGAAATGATCAAAACTTTCAACTAAGTCACTCCCTACCATCAATTCAGGTGTTGACACAGACCAGCTCTGAAGCAACATTTTTCGCCTAGAGGGGAAAAAACGGATCTCAAAGTTAGGTGAAAAAAAAATGCTATTTCTAGGAGGACATCGACAAAATTAAATTAAAATGGGGATAGTGGGGAGCTTTGAAGAACATCACTTGAAGTTTAAAGTTCTGATAACAGTTCGCCGTAAGCATCGAATCAACCAGTGATGCCTGAGTAGAGAGCGTACACGAAGTTGGTATACATCAATAGTACTCCTCTCAATGACAAATATTTCCATGAAACCTCTCGGTCAACAGAGTTGAACGTTACCTTAAGTTCAAAAATACAACTATAGTCGGGCGCCTTAAAGTATCCATATTTTATAAAACTTGAAGAATAAGTATTTCGTTAGTGCATTTACGTTGAGGTCTGAAACCAATCTAGTTTTCCTGTGGTTGCTCTTCCCGAACGTTTGATGATTATAGAGACTAGTATTTTACATAATATATTAGTCAAACTGCTTCCTCTGCAGTTTCTACAGGGGTATTTCGGTCTTTTCTTAAAAATTGGAGCGAACAACAATCGAGATCGGTCAAATGATTACATACAGCCTCTAAACTGTAGCTAAGTACTTCATTCAGCTTAGCTGCTGAAACTGAACCAACATCCTTAAAGATTGGAGTTAATTCATCTGAGCCCTCTATTGTTTTTCGTTTTAGATTGTCTATAACCTTATCAACCTCGCTAAGTGTCGATTTCGTGTTCAAGTTGCTTAGAGATAGTCGGTAATTGGAAACCAATTGAACTGTTCTATAAGACTCTCTGTTCAGTCTGTTTAATATTCTAACTAGGAGTGAGTCATAGTTGCATCCTTTGCCGAGATGGTCTCACTAACAGTTGTCTCTTTCGTCTCTCTTGTTTTCGTTACCTACCATTGCTCACGACCATTGCGTAATCTTTCTAGTTTACTTTTGAAATATGGTCATCACTTAACGAACTATGTCTTTTTTTCTGACCTCTTCATTTTCACTCATCATCTACGATATCAATTTTGTCATATCTGTCCACGATGATATATTCAGATATCACTCTATGATTAACATGATTAAGATCACTTCTTTACACTAAATCATCTACTATAAATACACTAAGTCTATTGTCACTTTATCAACTCGGATCCAATATTAATTTAATCCTTAGAATGCAATACATTGAAACAAAATACAAGCTACTTGTGAATTCTGATCACATGATAACATTAATTTTCATATTACCATGTCTATTGTCTAAAAACCTTAATAAACACTAACTTTCATGCGACTTATGAATTGTATTAATTGGTTGTTTATTTGTTTAGTGCTTATGGAGAAGGAGTCTTTTTAGGTATACAAAATTTCCTCTTGGCTATTATGGCAATAACTTGGACATATTCACATATTAAAGCTGTCCTATTCTCTTGTGCTTATATAGCATGTGTAGCTGTTCTTTTGTCTCCAACACTTCCATTATCAATATTGATACTATTTCAAACAGTTAATCTCCCAATTATGTTATCATCTAAGGTAGTTAGTTATTTAATTATTGGATATATATTCATTTTCGTATTATGAATTTTTGTTTTTTCTCTTTTTATTTGAACACATGGACATTGGTACAAGGAGGCACCTAATACATATGCACCACACAAGTCATATGATTTAGGTGAGGGCTGGGATAATGCTCAGGTGCCCAAACCGAAGCAGGTGGTTTTCTTAGGAGAGGTCACACCCGGAGCTTTCGACCTAAAGGTCTGGTGCACAAGGCAATAAAGCAAGGTCAGGAGATACAGTCCCATGGTAGCCAGTGATCAATAATTGGTTCATACGCCATTTGATTCCCCAGGATCCTGGATCCAGCCCATGTGCACCACTGGTTTGGAATGAGGGTTTTCCAACTCCCTTAGATGAATCCTTCTGTTGTAATTCTCTTTTTACAACCCAGCTATTTCTATTGCTTAGTATTCTCGGACACCAATTCACTCGACAAGTCCCCCAAATCAGAACACGGTTGAACAGGAAAAGAGATTATATTCCAAATAACAAGGATAGATGGAAGTAGAAGCACAATAGGGAAAACGTTAGTATATTTATAATTTTCACATGAGAAGATTTCTAGTGTTCACTAAGCATTGACTAACGCTGTTTGGATAAAAATTATCCAATCAGCGTGCATCAACGCAAGCGTGCATTGAGCATGATTTAATCCAATCTATGTCCCGCTCACACCTTCCCTTTGAGCAGATTCGTAGGATCTGGTGTTTCGAGGACATTTACGCTTCTTCTTGGGCTGAGGCGAACGATTCGGCGGACAATGACCTTCTTTATGTCCACGTTTGTTGCACATCTGACATTTATGCTTTTTAAATGGACAGAATCGTACATAATGCCAATCACCACATAACCAACATGCAGTCGTTGGTTTGTTACGAGTTGTTATTGGCTTCTGAACTTTTAACCTAGTGATAGCATTGACACTACTGCAGGTTAAATTAGGATTTGCCTGTTCAATCAACTCGTTGTCGTGTCTGATGCTTTGTAGCCGCTTACACTCGTCTGTCAATGTTCTGAGTGTGACGTTTGAGTCTTGATCCATTCGAGCCAAAAGTCTAGTTCTGATCTCAGCATCTTATGGTGACTTTATTATTATTTGAACACATATATATTGGTACAGGAGTGCGCCAAATATATATGCGCCACACAATTTCAGTTCATTAATTGCGTGTGGGCTGCGATACTGCCCGGGTGCCCAGACTGAAGAGCTTTGATGAATATTAAGCATTTAAATTGGTCTTCTGTCAACGAGCGTAACTTGAACCGTTCACATTCTCTGTTGACGATGTCTACTAGAACACCATATTCATCGGCTTCGCGTTTCACCAAATTTAGACACCGATATGGAATACTAAACAATGAGGATGACTCACCGAATATCTCTGACAATTGAATTACCGTCTCCTCGAAACTGAACTCTCGAGGTAACTTTGGCAATATATGGTCAGTATAACGTGCATGTTCATTGCTTCCCACCTTACGTACCAACAGTCGAGTCTTCCACGCGTCGTTTTGGTTACAGAATTCATCTATGATCCCGAAAGTGGAAATACTTTTCTCACGTAGTTCAAACGTTGGTAAAGATACATTTAGAACAGAATTCTGTGGTCTAATAAAACTAACCATGTTGGCATATGACCTTGCTAATGGTAGTAGAACTAGTGTGAGGATCCTGGCGAGTGTTCATTCACTTTCGTTTGTAAACATATCTTGATGATAAGCATCAAATCCACAAAACTTGAGCTAATCATCCAATCTTCTCAAAGTTTGACAATCTGAAGCTTTTCACGTGTGTATGTGTATGTGTTTGTTAGAATATACTTACGCGCCTTTTTGTTTTATCGATAAAATTCTAAACATTTGTCAGAGTTTTGTGGATATTATAGTAAGTTTAATAGTTGAGGTCATGAGTCATTTAAGGCTAGACCGCCATGGAAAACCTGGAAGCACTAAACAACCGTTTCTTACTACTGTGGGACTCCTCAGAAGTGTGCATCTACGATCCTTCCTCGCGAGGTTCGAACCCAGAACCTATCAGTCCTGGCAACATTTATTCGTCCATTCATTGCTAAAATAATATTGGCACTGCTGAGGAGAGTCCCACAGTAAGACGAAACAGCCGTCCAGTGCTTCTAGGTTTCTCATGATAGTCTAGCTTCATTTGACTCATGATCTCAACTATTAAAATTTTCAGAGTCCTTATAATTTTCTGTTTTTTTTCCAGATTGCTCAAATATGGACAAATTATTGTAATGGGAGTACAGGTCAATTATCAGCTATTACATTGTTCCTATTTGCTTTAGGTTCAACTGCACGTATATTTACATCAATTCAAGAAACTGGTGATAATCTAATGATTATATCATGTATATTAGCTAGTCTATGTAATTACATATTAATGGGTCAATTAGTCTATTATTGGAATGTATCATCTGTTTCTAAAATTGACCAACAACAACAACAACAACAATATTCAACACGAAAAGTTAAAGTGAATTAGTTCTATGTTCTTTTTATTGTTACTGTGTTATCGTTATTCTTTTGTATATGGATTTGAAATACGAACACATTATTCCATGTATTGTTTCAACGTGTTATTTATTTGTTTTTTTTTTATATTGGTTCCCATAACTTGTTAAATTGGTTGCTAATTCATTTATTCATTTTAGTTACTATGTGAATTCATGATCAATATACATGTGGGTTTTTATAATTAGTTTTAATAATAACGATAATCTTATTAATTTTTCTAAGGATTTGTATTTCTCGGTTAGTATTCAGGACTGTAGTTGATCGGTGATATTTTTTCTAACTTGATAGTTTTGTGTATTTAGGAAACAGGTACTGGGGAAGGATGGCAAATCAATTAATGAATTAGTGAAACTTCATCAGTTGAGATGGCTGGGACATGTGTTACGTATGGCCCAACCACCGACTGCCTCGATGTGCGATGTTTTATGATATAGGAGTAGGTTGGAAGAAAGCTAGAGGTGACCAAACCAAAAGCATGACACAAATCCATGAAATGACTGACAAGTGGACTGAGCCATGTTGTTAGGTGTGGACTACCTGTTTGGGATCCATGAGACGATAGCAACCGATGGTTAGAGACCTTGAATGACATGGCTCGAAATCGTTTGCAATGACACAGGTGCATCCACTTTTTGTGTTCTCCCAAATTTTGATCTTCTGAATTCTTCATATCCCTGAATTTTTCTCATTCCAAATTTATTTCACTGGATTATACTGCTTGAATAACATCTTCAAACCCTAATCTTTCCGATTACTGCTTATACTTACTTATAACTTTTACTAATTCTTAAATGACTAGTGTTCGCGGTTTTACTTCGATGTATCGAATCAGTTCATTCATAATGTCAACTAAAAATATTACTGATACCGTAATTACCGATTACTTTTAGTTTTATCAACTGAATTTAATACTTTTTAAATGAAATCAAACTATGTGTCTGCCGGATAAATTATTTAAATTGATATCATGAATAGATCAATGTTAGATCCTTATTGAAAACCTGGAAGCAATGGACAGCTGTTTCGTTTTGGTATGGAACTTCTCAACAGTGTGTAATATCATGGATTGGATGAAGTAAAAGATTAACATTATCAGATGCCAGCAAACTTGGTGGTCTAGAAGTTAAGCGTCCGCGCGCCAAATCAAAGGTCCTGGCTTTGATTCCCGTGTGCGGGTTCGTCGATGCTCATTGCTGAGGAGCCACTCACTGGGACGAAACGACCATCTAGTGCTTCCATGATTCCAATGGTTCTCTAACATGAATCGGTTCATGATATCAAATTAAAAGTCAACAATCTCCTCAACCTTATACAGATAATTATCTTATATTCATGTACCTTTTTTTACACGTCATAAAGTAGATGATTATTTCTATTCTGGATTAAACTGTATATATATGGAAACAGTTATTTCATGTCATTTTGGAATAACTCGACAATAAACATCCTAAATCAAATACAGAATCAAGGGCAAGATATTATGTACTTGAAGCTAGAAAATATCTTCAGCTTTCAAATAATAAGTATTACAATAGTTGAGATCATGAGTCAGTTGAAGCTAGATCACCATGGAAAATTGATTACATTCATGTATACATGGTTTCTTGAGTGGCAATCAGCTCATTTTACCTTTACTAATGTACATATCAAATTGTCTTGGATATATAAGGAGATAATTCTTTTTTCACACATTCACATTTGAGAGTATTGATGTGACAACAGTTTGACTATCGGTAAAATCTAATCACAAATACAATGTGCACTGTTCATGAACAGTTTGTAGAAATTGTCGAATTATGTAATTGTGTACTACGAACAGATTTCAGTTAAATAAATCTTAAAAACCAAGAAGGACTGAAGCGCTACTTCTTGGTATAGGATTCCTCACTAGTACGCATCCACAACATCACATGGTGTCAAACATAGTATACTTGGCATTTTCTTATCCACGTTACTAATGGTTTTTAGGAAAAAATTTAGTTACCACATAGGGGAGGGGGTGTTTTGATATGAATTATTCAGTCTATTCTAGTAGCATGATGATTCAAGTAAAGACAATTGAATATAGACACCACCGATAGCTTACATTTTCATGTATGTAAATGTTGGGCTTTCAAACTAGAATCTGATTTCAATGAAGAAGGAAACATTAAAAAACTGGATATAAAATAGATGCTCTCACCTATTATCTGATCATAATGTAACTTCAAATTATTTCTTTCTAGCACAATTGATTTCTGTCTTGTTGTTCATGTAACTCATTGTTCAATGGTTTTTTGTGTAGATAAAACTATGGTATACCGAGTACCTTAAGTGATCAATAAAAATTAAAATAGTTGATAAGCAAAGATAGATAGTGGCTGGCAGTGGAATCAAGGACAAGCGTTTCATCCTGTTTCGGGACTCGTCAGTTGGATCTACCTGTATCTCAGAGTTGATACTCACTACGGGACTCGAACCCAGTACCATTCGCTTCAAACACCATCACGTTATCCACTTAGCTACTGAGTCCCGATACGGCTGAGGGTGGGTAAATCCAGCTCTCCCTCTCGAATGCTCTCATATGTCCACGTGCAACAGCTACTGACAGGGAAGTCCTATTCACTGCATTATTGCGGCATTACCGTTGTTTACGAAATTGGGAGGATGGAAAGCGAATGTCTGGCGCTTTAACCGGGTTGGTGGACACAGTAAGTCCACCTAGGGTGGATAAAAGCCCTAATTCCAAACCAATGATGCACATAGGCTCCAGTATCCTGAGGAAACAAATGGCGTATGAACAAGTTGTTTGTCACCGGCTACAATGGGACTGCATCTCCTAATGTTGCTCCAGTGCCTTGTGGGTCAGACCTTTAGGTCGAAGTCTCCAGGTGTGGCCCCCTAAGAAAACCACCTGCTTCGGTCTGGGCACCAGGGTTCTATCACAGTCAACACACAAATCAAGTGACTTGTGTGGCACATATGTATTCGGTGCCCCTTTGTACCAATATTTCTGTGTTGAAATAAATAAATAATAACAATTATTGTTGTGATCTTTTTACACTATAATGTCATTATAACCATTGTATTATGGTACTGCCACGCGATTCACACCTATGTCATTTGGTTAACATAGAATTCAAGGTACTATATATCATGAGACATCATTTATTTCATTGTATTTCCCCCTAAAATTCATATTTTCTCTATTCTTACTCGATTGTAGTTTTTTTCACTGTCATTGTACATAGGTCGTTCGACCTATCTAATTACATACATCTTTTTCTCATTAGAAGCATCTCCTTCAAACTGACCTTCAAATGTTGTGTCTCAATAATACATTCTAATCTTTCAAAAAATTATTTATCCCTTTTCCATTCTATGATGTGTCTTAAACTATTTGTTCTTGACATTGAGGGTGAGACTATTATTTATGAACGACCTTTCAGCAACTCCAAAGTGACATTGAGTGTGTCTATTTACTTACTATAACTAAATAAGGGTTATAAAGCAGTTTGGAGGATATGGATTATTATTCACAATTGATGGTTAGGGTTGGGAATTCGATATACAGTTTTTTTTAATCACGAACTGACATAAGCTAAAATGCCAAGATGCTATTTAGCCAAATGGATGAATGAATTTCGAGTCAAAATCTAAGACCTGTTATCCTAAATCTGATTCATTTGTCCATAAATTATCGTCTCGCCACATTGAATTTGAGCTATATCCAGTTACAAAAAGCTGATTATATTGTAATAAAATGTCTGAAAGAAATAAACTACTGATAAGTAGTATACATCTCAGCATTAAATTACCAACTCCGATTTCAGCCTTGGAAGAACTACATTTTTAATCTGGGTATATTATAGAAACAATGATCATATAAAGAGAATCTCTACCGTTTCTCAATAACGTATAGTTTAAATAAACCATATAAGTTTCTTAGGATCTTCTAAGACCAAGACATTTCTACTTATTGACTTCTTCAACCATCTAATAAAATTAAAAATCCAATCAGAAGACAACAACTCAGTATCAATTTTCAATTATAACGAACCGTTGAATACATTGAAGTAGGATGATGACAAATGGAATAGTTTGAATATATGGAACTTTAAAACATTCAATTGTATAATTAGTTCGTTAAAGATTTGTGTTCAGAATATGATCGTTACAAGTTAAAGAATTGAACCTATTAACACTTATACAGGAACTTACATTGTTATTGTCTATTTAATCAACGTTTTACAAAAACATAACTATCATTTGCTATGATATATTTAACTAAGTCTTGTAAGCAAAGCGGTGGAATTCGGGATACATATTTCGTCCCATTTTTGGACTCGTCACCTATATGTACCTGCATTCCAGAGTGAATATCCAACTGATGAGTCTCAAGTAGAACGAAACGTGCGCCGTGAATTATGCTGCTAGCTATCATCATTCCTTGCTTATAATGTTTGTGACTTGAGGCTATCCTCACAGGATGCAAATATGTTAATAGGAGACTGATCAATTGCAGTCCTATACATCAATGGAAAGATTAAAACAACCAATATAAAGGAATTAATTAAGATTTAGTTTCCATACAAAAGAGAAAAGATACTCGGTAAGAAACTATAATTGATCATTTCTTGCTAGTTAGCATTGATCATAAAGAAGTATCTAGAATCTGGGAGAATCAATATCCTGTAATATATTTAAACGGGGTTGATCAAGTTCTAATATCTGAGGTATTACCATTGAGCGATTTACGCCTGAACTGACATCCTATAAAATGTGATCCATAGAATTCAATTCGAATTGTGAACTAGACAAAAATGATATTGGTCACTATTCAATCTTCTAATTATAAGGCTAGTGAACAATATAAAAAAAAATCAATGTTTTTCCATCTTGGAATTGAAATCTACGATACTTTTAGATCACTAAATATCAAATCTAATTGGGTAAGACATTTTATTACTTACTTACTTACGCCTGTTACTTCCAATGGAGCATAGGTCACTGACCAGCATTCTCTAACCCACTCTGTCATGTGCCTTCCTTTCTAGTTCTATTCAATTGCTGTTCATTCTTTTCATATCTGTCTCGATTTCTCGCTGTAATGTGTTCTTTGGCCTTGGGGATTCCAGGTGAGGGCTTGCCTTCTGACTCAATTGGGTGCTTTCCTCAATGTATCTCCTATCCACTTACAGCAAAGACATTACATAAATCCATTCTATTCATCATTTACTGTAACGATATTCGTTTCTATTTAGATATTCCCTTGTAAAACTACGTTTAATGTTATATTAATGCCTCGAACAAAGAGAAAGTGAGTGTGTGTGTGTAGGTGAGAGAGAGAGAGAGAGAGTAGTGACAAGGGTAACCATATTTATTTATCCCACTTAACAATCGATATTGTCATCAAGTATAGCATAATCATTTTTGACTAAATTTATGCACATACTATTTTCTTAATTCAGTAGTTATTACTTATTTTTATTTTATTGTCTTCATTTATATTATTATTATTATATATTCATCATTTCTACCATTCACCTTCTTCTTCTCCTCATTCTTCCCTGTTTACTTGGCATTTTGGTGTTTATCAATAGAGTAAAGATTGGTACAAACTAGACATGAATAATAATAATAATAATAATAATAATAATAATAATAATAATAATAATAATGATAATGTTTATAATCAATCGATCAGTCAACCAGTTAACCAATCAATCAATCAATCAATAATTTCTGATTATATATGAATGATTGACTTGATTATTGTTTATCAATGAATTAATTAATTAAATAGGTCTTGAAATTGATTGAATTTATTTATCAAATTTGTTTTTCTCTTATTTCGATTTATTTTTATCTACTTTTCTTTTTTTTTACATTTTCTTTATGTCTTCATTAATTAGTTTGATGATAAGTAAATGAAAACAAAACAAAACCTTATTTGGTGATTAATTCAAGTTGCATTGAGTAATGTAGATGATGATGATGATTTGGATGACTTAGATGATGATGATGACGATTTGGATGACTTAGATGATGATGATGATTTGGACGATTTAGATGATGATGATGATGATTTGGATGACTTAGATGATGATTTGGATGACTTAGATGATGATGATGACGATTTGGACGATTTGGATGATGATGATCATGATTTGGATGACTTAGATGATGATTTGGACGATTTAGATGATGATGATGATGATTTGGATGACTTAGATGATGATGATGACGATTTGGATGACTTAGATGATGATTTGGATGACTTAGATGATGATGATGATTTGGACGATTTAGATGATGATGTGGACGATTTAGATGATGATGATGATGATCATGATTTGGATGACTTAGATGATGATTTGGATGACTTAGATGATGATGATTTGGATGACTTAGATGATGATGATGACGATTTGGACGATTTGGATGATGATTTGAACGATTTAGATGATGATGATTTGGATGACTTAGATTATAATGATTTAGATGATTAAATGATGACGATGACGATTTGGATGATGATTTGAACGATTTAGATGATGATGATTTGGATGACTTAGATTATAATGATGACGACGATTCGGATGATTGAGATGATGATGACGATTTGAATGACTTAGATGATGATGATGTCAAGTTGGATGATGATGATTTGCGTGATGAAGATGACGATGATGATATACAAACGAATTACTTCTTATTTATATTTTCCCTCTAAAAAATATTTTAATGAAAAGTCAATTTAATGTAAGGTTTCTAATTAGGCAGGTCACTGTCAAACTCTTAACTTCATTTCATAAATTTTGTTTAAATGCGATTTGTAGTAAACGAGAAGAAAATTGAAGACAATCAAATGTATTTCAACACCAAACTTACAGAACAACTTAGTAACATTTGAGAACCAAATATAGTCAATACTTCATTTGTAAGATGTCACTCAATCATCGTAGACAGTTGTTTTGAGTTCCAGATGTACTTCAATTGCAGATATGCTGCTCTCGCTTCGCCGATCCTCACCTTCACACCTGTATCAGATCCATCGTGTTCATCAATGATGCTGCTCAGATATGTAAAGGCATTTTCATCTTCTAAAGCTTCTCCTTCAATTTTGATTCGATTGGTGCATGTTGTGTTGTTTGGAAGAATCTCGCTTTCTCGTTTGTGTATGTTGAAACCTACTGCTACTGAAGTTCATAATAATAATATACTTGTGTATAATATATTCAATGTACAATGGAAAATGATTACAATAATCTGACAACCATATAGTAAATATTTTATTTGTAAGATGTCACTCAATCGTCTTAAACTTCATTGTTCCTTCGTTTCCACAACAAACATTCTCTAATCTCGTTCTCTTCTCTTCGATCTTCTCAACCTTCTACCACCAGGTATTTCGCTTTTAATCAATGACACATACTACTTATATCTATCAACATCACTCACTGCTGTTCATCAATATTCATTCAGGGAACTAAACTTAGTAACCTATTCCTATACTAAACTAAATCATAATTTCTCTATGAGGGCTAATCAAATCGTACCATGTTGTTGTCACTGCTCAAATCTCTACCATTCACAATCATATTTTAGAATTATAACTAATCAACTATAATCTTAATCAAGTGTAATCTTTCATTTAGAGAATGAATCAAACGAGTGAATCCAATGCAGTAACAATAATAAGACTGATTCACTTGTATCTTGATAAGGTTAATTCACATTTGTGAATTATACAATTTCACAGATTGAAATCATGAATCAATTGAAGCTAGACCACCATGGAAATCGTGGAAGGCCGTCCCGTCCTAGGATAGAACTCCTTAGCATTGCGCATCCACGATCCCGCACTCCACGGGATTCCAACCACAGACCTATCAGTCTAGCGCCAGGTGCTTAACCAACTAGACCTCTGAGCAGATACTGATAGGTCCTGGGTTCGAGTTGAGGAGTCCCATACTAGGGCGAAACGTCCGTCTAGTGTTTCTAGGTTTTCCATGGTGGTCCAACTTCAATTGACTCATGATTTCAATCTGTGAAATTTGTAAAATCTCCACAAACCCCTTCTGATAATTATACATTTGTTAATATTGTAGTAAACGAGAACAAACAAGTGAGGACAATCAAAGGTATTTGAACACAGCATAATAGAATATCTTAGTATAATCTGAGAACCATACAGTGAATTCTTCATTTGTAAAGTGTCAATCAATCGCCTCAGATCTGATTGTTCTTTCGTTTACACATCAATCATTCTTTGGTCTCGTTCTCCTTTCTCTGATTTTCCTATTGTTCTGGTACTAGGCATTTCATTTTCGATTAATGATCTATACTACTTATATCTATCGATATCAGTAATACACATCACACGTCAACATGATAAATAATCTTTCATACTTATACATTTAGCAATTAAAATTAACTGAACATACGAACAAAATTAGTGTGTGTAAACTGTACTTATACTTAAATACATTTAAGTAGTATATGGAATTTAAAATAGATGAAAACATACTACTCAGTTTCAAAAAACTATTCAATTCATTATTCGAACTATGAGTTAAACAATTAGTTATGAATGATCCTGTAAATAAAGATATCACCAACGGTTGAGTATGAAATAATAAGAAATCCATTATCACAATAAGCTGTTAATTGACTTCAACCATCAAACAACATACAATATGAAATACAATGTCGACTAACCTTCAACTGTAGATGTTATGTAACTTTAACCGGGAAAACGAAATAGCACTATGAACTAGATAAATATGATATGAATAACATCACAGGTAGGGACAAATGAATGTATTTAATAGGTGAACTCATGAGTCAATCTAAGCTAGATCACTATAGAAAACCTGTAAGCATTGGACGGTCATTTCTTCCTAGTATGGGACACCTAAACAGTGAGCATCTATAATCCAGTATGAGGACTCGAACCTAGGACTCTTGGTAATTATGAAAACCATACATTGAATACTTCATTTGCAAATTTTCATCATTTTTCTTTCACATACTGTACAATTCTTCCAGTTCATAATTGTTTTCTAATTTCACTTCTGTTTTCTTTAAGTTGACCTTCATAGCCTTCTGCTACCAGGGTTTCCACTTCTGATTGATGTTACATACTACTTGTGTCTGTCGACTGATATAAGTAGCATACACTACAATAGTTTTTACTACTTTGGATAATATAATTAATACTAATTATATTATTAAAACCGATGATCATATAACATCAACAATCATATCATCTTGAAGTCTTCATTTGGCAACTTCTAGTCATTAAAATTTACCGAACTTGTATAAATTCCATGTTTATTAATTAGAATTCGTTAATCTGTTCATCTAGAAATTCTCATTCATATAATCAATTATATTGGAGCTAAAATAATCATAAATGCCCTGGTATGACTGAAAGTGGGGAGAGTTAACTCTTCCTTTCCAAATGCTCTCACATGGCAACGTGCATAATCACTGCGTTCTCACGGCATTACTGTTGTTTACAAAATTGAGAGGACGAAAAGCGAATGCCCATGCGGGTTGGTGGATATGGAGGGTAGAAATAGGGGAGTTGGAAATCCCTCATTCCTTATCAATGGTGTATATGGACCCCAGGATCCTGAGGGAACGAATGGCGTCTGAACCAATTGTTAGTCACCGGCTACCATGGAACTTCATCTCCTGACGTTGCTCCACTTCCTTGTAGATCAGACTTATAGGTTGAAGGCCCCCTAAGAAAATCAACTCTTTCAGTTTGGGCACCGAGGCAATATCCCAGCGCTTACACAACTCAAGTGAGTTATGTGGCGCATATATATTGGATGTCTGCTTGTATCAATGTTTATATGTTCAAATGAATGAATAAATAAACAAAATTATGGTTGATGTAGAGTAAGTGGTTAGAGAAAATAAGCAACATTCCTAAGCATTGAAAAAAAGGAAGTAATTTATCAATAAAAGAAAAAATTTTTTTGTGACATACCACCGCAGATGAAGAAAGAAAAAATAAATTTCATTTTGAAAACTGTAATCAATCAACCAGCAACAACAACAACCACCACCGCAACATGATGTGAATAATTCAATGTTTATCTATATGAGCTTGTCTGTCTGTTTATTTCACAATTCATATCATACTCAACATATGTATATATTTATAGCTTTATGTATGAATAATCTAAAGGCAAGAAAGAAAAGGGTTGACTTCTCTTGTTCCAGTTGATGAACATGTGAAACATTAGGTGATATCGATAAACAGTCTAGCTATTTGATGGGAATATAATACATTAATACTACTACTACTACTACTACTACTACTACTACTACTACTACTACTACTACTACTACTACTACTACTACTACTACTACTACTACTACTACTACTACTACTACTACTACTACTACTACTACTACTACTACTACTACTACTACTACTACTACTACTACTACTACTACTACTACTACTACTACTACTACTACTACTACTACTACTACTACTACTACTACTACTACTACTACTACTACTACTACTACTACTACTACTACTACTACTACTACTACTACTACTACTACTACTACTACTACTACTACTACTACTACTACTACTACTACTACTACTACTACTACTACTACTACTACTACTACTACTACTACTACTACTACTACTACTACTACTACTACTACTACTACTACTACTACTACTACTACTACTACTACTACTACTACTACTACTACTACTACTACTACTACTACTACTACTACTACTACTACTACTACTACTACTACTACTACTACTACTACTACTACTACTACTACTACTACTACTACTACTACTACTACTAACTACTACTACTACTACTACTACTACTACTACTACTACTTATTACTACTACTACACTACCACTACTACTACTACTACTACTACTACTACTACTACTAGTCTACATTATAGTATATTATTTAATAATATTGTCAATAATCTCATAAATAGTAACCATATTAATAATAATCTTTTATGTGGTTCTATTTTTTTGCTTAATACTAATGATTATTATTACTTGTTGTTATTTTGTGTGTAAAAATTTCTTTCTATTTTATTTTTCATTTCAAGCGTGTTAAATTGTTTTTCTTTTTTTTGACAAAAAACACAACCGAACGAAATTAACAACCAATCAACCAAACTCATATTTATTCGATATTCTTTAAAAGAAAACAAAATACCAAAACACAAACCAACAGAAACCCTGTCATTTCCATTCATTCATCTTCATTCCTATTTGTCTTCATTTTTTTTTATTCTCCTTTTTTGTTTAGGAAATAAATGTTTTTTTTAGCATATCATCTACATTTATCTCTTTTTTTGTTGAATTCATTTCTTTTCCTTCTTTTTCTCCTTTCTCTCTTTCTCTCTTTTTTCTTTTCTTTTTTTGGTTTTTGTTTTATTTTGTAATCATTTCAATGTTCATTGTAGTGTTGAACTGACAAAAGA